GCGACCCCGTGTACAACAGAATGAAACTCTGCACAGTCCTGTACAAGCTCCATAATCCTTGTTATATTTGAGCCCATTGTTGCAGCCACTGTGTCCATCCATATCATTGAGGGTCTTCCCCTCTTTCGTCGACCCTCCACTTTACCAAGCATGATATTCTTCTCCAGGGCATGGTCCCTCTAACAACATGACCAAAGTAGGTGAAACGAAGTCTGGCCATTCTCGCCTCCAAGGAGCATTCCGGCTGAAGTTCATAGAGGTGGAAAACGTTATGCTTGGTACACCTCCCTTAGTCTCTTTTAAAGATTATGACCTCACTGTTATTTTAATTGAAAGTATATCACCCATGTAATGTTTTGCAGTGAAACATTAACCAGACTTTTTTTTTCATGTTATTAATAAGCCCACCAAAGTTGATTGAATATTATAATTTTCAAGACATGTCACTTTTTCATTTTCACACTAATTATTTGCAGGTATTATACACCAAGGAGCTCTGGTAGCATAGTACCTGAGGCACTTGACTGCTAACCAGTGCACAAGATGCTGCATAGAGTGGGAGAACAATATGGAACAAAATTCAAAATCACAAAAAAAAAAGACCAGATTTGCTGGTCTGAGAGAGTCTGGTGAGACACCCAAGACTATAGGCCCTAGTTATCCTTCAGGTGTGGAACTGAATTCACTCCCATGGCTTCCAGCCAAACAATAGACAGGCCTATGGGGTGAACATTTCCACCAGGCAGATACATTCCTTGGAGCAATCAATCATGGGAGAACAGAAGGGCAGTATTTGCACAGGGAGACAGCTGAGGGGCAGGAATGCATAGGAAAGGACACGGAAGAGGTAACTACAGGGAGGAAGTGGGAAGAGAGCTGTTACATTGTCAGGAACTGCAGCCAATGTCGTGAAACAAAATGTATTTGAACTGTTGTATGGAAAATGAATTTGCTCTGTCAACTTTTACCCAAATCACAATAAAAATTGAAAAAAAAAAAAGTTATGGGATAGCACTTATGAGATGAGGTGGTAAAAACGATGACTTCCCTCTGGCTTGTGTTTTCTCTCTTCTTGGCACTTTCTCTTACCCTCTTACACGCTCACTCTAATGTAGCAAGCTGCCATGTTCTGAGCTCGCCAATGGGGAGGCACGTGTAGCAAGGAACTCCACCAACAGTGAGGAACTGAATCTTGCAAATAACTAAGTGAGTGAGCACGGTAACAGCTCCTTCCCTGGCTGAGCCCCGAGGTGACTGCAGCCCGGCCAACACTTTTCTTACACCCTGTGAGAGACTGTGAAATGAAAGACCCAGTTAAGCCTGATATTCAGACACTGTGAAATTATAAGTGGTGCCATGTTAATCCACAAATTTGGGGGATAATTTGCTATGTTGTTGTTGTTGTTACATGCCATCAAGTCAGCTCCGACAAATAGCAACCCCGTAGACAACAGAACAAAACACTGCCCGGTCCTGCCTCAGCCTCACAATCCTTGCGGTGTTAGGCTGGGTTCTCTAGAGAAGCAAAGCCAGTAAAGCTTATATATACATATAGAGAAAGACA